AAAGAATCTGTACTCAGAAAACTATAAAGTACTCATGAAAGAAATTGAGGAAGACACAAAGAAATGGAAAAACATTCCATGCTCATGGATTGGAAGAACAAATATTGTGAAAATGTCTATACTACCTAAAGCAATCTACATATTTAATGCAATCCCTATCAAAATACCATCAATTTTTTTCAGAGAGATAGAACAAATAATCCTAAAATTTATATGGAACCAGAAAAGACCACGAATAGCCAGAGGAAGGTTGAAAAAGAAAGCCAAAGTTGGCGGCATCACAATTCCAGACTTCAAGCTCTATTACAAAGCTGTCATCATCAAGACAGTATGGTACTGGAACAAAAACAGATACACAGATCAATGGAACAGAATAGAGAGCCTAGAAATAGACCCTCAACTATGGGTCAACTAGTGGTCAACTAATCTTGGTCAACTAATTGGTCTATGGTCAACTAATCTTCGACAAAGCAGGAAAGAATGTCCAGTGGAAAAAAGACAGTCTCTTCAACAAATGGTGTTGGGAAAATTGGACAGCCACATGCAGAAGAATGAAACTGGACCATTTCCTTACACCACACACAAAAATAGACTCCAAATGGATGAAGGACCTCAATGTGAGAAAGGAATCCATCAAAATCCTTGAGGAGAACATGGGCAGCAACCTCTTTGACCTCAGCCACAGCAACCTCTTCCTAGAAACATCACCAAAGGCAAGGGAAGCAAGGGCAAAAATGAACTATTGGGACTTCATCAAGATCAAAAGCTTTTGCACAGCAAAGGAAATAGTCAACAAAACTAAAGGACAACTGACAGAATGGGAGAAGATATTTGCAAATGACATATCAGATAAAGGGGTAGTATCAAAATCTATAAAGAACTAATCAAACTCAACACCCAAAGAACAAATAATCCAATTGAGAAATGGGCAGAGGACATGAACAGACATTTCTGCAAAGAAGACATCCAGATGGCCAACAGACACATGAAAAAGCACTCAACACCACTCTGTATCAGGGAAATAAAAATCAAAACCACAATGAGATAGTCACACCAGTCAGAATGGCTAAAATTAACCAGTCAGGAAATGACAGATGTTGGTGAGGATGCGGAGAAAGGGGAACCCTCCTATACTGTTGGTGGGAATGCAAGCTGGTGCAGCCACTCTGGAAAACAGCATGGAGGTTCCTCAAAAAGTTGATAATAGAGCTATCCTATGACCTAGCAATTGCACTATTGGGTATTTACCCTAAAGATACAAATGTAGTGATCCGAAGGGGCACGTGCACCCGAATGTTTATAGCAGCAATGTCCACAGTAGCCAAACTATGGAAAGAACCTAGATGTCCATCAACAGATGAATGGATAAAGAAGATGTGTGTGTGTGGGCGGGGGGGAAATATATATATATATATATATATATATATATATATATATATAATGGAATACTATGCAGCCATCAAAAGAAATGAAATCTTGCCATTCTCAATGATGTGGATGGAACTAGAGGGTATTATGCTGAGCGAAATAAGTCAATCAGAGAAAGACAATTATCATATGATTTCCCTGATATGAGGAATTTGAGAGGCAGAGGGGGGGTTTATGGGGTAGGAAGGAAAAAATGAAACAAGATGGGATCAGGAGGGAGACAAACCATAAGAGACTCAATCTCACAAAATAAACTGAGGGTTGCTGGGGGGAGGGGGCGTATGGAGAGGGTGGTGGGGTTATGTACATTGGGGAGGGTATGTGATATGGTGAGTGTTGTTAAGTGTGTAAGTCTGACGATTCACAGACCTGTGAATTTACCCCACCCCGGGGTAAATAATACATTATATGTCAATAAAAATTTTTTAAAAATCCAAGACAGACTAAATAAAATATTTTTCATTCTTTTTTTATGTTTTAGAAACACAAATCCTTGTGGCAACAACTGTTAAGAAAAGCAAGGAAATGAACAGAAACTCACAATAATGGTCTCATCCAGCATACAGGGAGGAATCCCAGGGACTCCCTACTAGTAATATTCTATTTCTTAAGCTATGTGTTCATTTCAATAGAATGTGCTACCTCAAGAGTTACTGAATTTGCCATCACAGAAGTTCTGCTATGAGAAACATCTCACTCATGTGAGCTATTTAGAGAGAAAATAAGTATCAGACAGGAATTGGACTTCATACCCCGATGAGTATAATTTAACTCTGAGATCTCGTAACTCCATACCCATCATGGAGCAATATGTTGTACATAAAAACCAATAATAATAACAAACAGGCACTGACTACCAAATTTGGCAGACACTGTCAGTTGCTGACCAACAGCTTTTCGTTGTTCTTCCTTGATAGCAGATTTCAGTTTTGTTCTACTATCTAGCCTTTCCCCCATGTAATTCAGGGGTAGGTATTCTAGAGCTTGAGGGTTATCCTTTACTTAGGCTAAATTAATCTTATAATCCATTGGTTTAGAGGTAAACATATGGCCCTGCTTTGGACAATGAGACATGAGATAGATTCTACTAAGGGATGCCTGGAAAAGGTTTCCTTGTTCCTATACAGGACACTCAGAAATGGGTAAAAAGGCATAGATATTCTTTTTGGCATCGTTGTATATAGATGTAATGTCCAGGATGCTGCTGCCATGATGCACCCATGAAAAGATCAGTCTCAAAATTAAGTCTATTGGTCCATAGTGACCACACTGAGAAAATAAATTAATTAAAGCTGGAGCCTTACTTCTTGACTTGTTGGTAAATAACATATTACCTTGTTCCTTATATTTTCCAACTGAAGTTGTATTAACTGACATGCCATGTGCTCAATTTGCTCATCTGATCTAGTATTCTCATGATCTAAGTACCATTATTACATCCGCTGAATGAATATTTTTAAAAGGGGGGGGGGAGTAAAATACGTTACCCAAAGTCACACACATACTTAGTGGCATCTTCTAAGGAATCTGATGTCAAAACCCATGCTCTTAATGCCCTATCCATTCAACGCCATCGTCCTTTGGCTGGAAGGGCTAAGAAGAAAATCCTGAGAGATGTAAGTGTTCCATCATCCAGCCACGTGCTTTTCAGGTGTGAGTGAATGGTGGTAGAGCTGCAGCGTTGGCAGCAGCCAAAGCAGCTTCTAGACCTCTGAATTGTACCTATGACTGTTTGACCTTGAAGTCAACAGTCCGGTGGCAGCCTCCAAACTGTACTCCTCCATACTTTCCAAAATTTAATTCCTTGTATTAAATCACTTCCTGGTTCAAGTACCTACAATCATTACCATTTTCTGAATGGATAAATACTGTATACAACAAAGAGTAAATAAATCCCAGCTTCATTGACTTATATTCATCTCAAGTATTTAGAAAAATGAACTTATAACCCACGTGGAATGCAGTTTTGTTTTGAAGGTAGCCACAATCAGACAACTTATTCATCTTCTTTCTTTAATCAGTACAAATTGCTTATTAAACCACTCTGGGGATACTACAGATATACACTGATAGAGGCTCTTTTTCCACTTCGTTAAGAGATTAGGAATTTAAACTACAGACAAGGGACTAAATTCCTGCATGGAACATCTCATCTGTACTCTTACATGACTTTTTTTTTGCAAACTTTTACAAAGAACATTTTCCTATGGTTTAGAGTCGTTCTTTATTTTTTAAAATGCAATGTTCTAAAAGGGGAAGAAAGATTGTTTATTCTCCAGAAGATGAGCACAGCATGTATCTGCAAAAGAAGTATTCCAGCTTTGTAAAGGCATAACACATCTCTTAACATCTTTAAATATTATATCAGAAATTGCCTTCATATATTAAAGAGCCTGGAACTTATCCTCAGGAAGACCTGGGTTAAAATCTCAGTTGGGTCACACAGAGCTATTTGATAGGGAAGAAATCCTTGGGTTTTCTGAGTTTCAGTTGATTCACCCTTAGAAATGTGATCTTTCTAACTCTCTCCAAGGTTTGTCATAACATTTAAAAAGAGATACTGTGTATGAAAATGTCTGCTACAAGATGATGTGTAGCAAGGACTACCTAAATGTTAAATGTCCTCTTATTTCTTAAATATGCTGTAGAAGAACTCTTTATCAACAACGACAAAAGAGCTGGTCATGAAACAAATTTATATGGAGTAGGAATTCTACATTCTAATAACTTATATTATAAAATCACAGAAAAAAGTTACTAAAAGATTAAGTTAAAAATTTTATGCAGATTAGTGGTAAGTAGTCCTGAGACAAGGAAGAAGTAGTAAACCACCAGATGAACTTCCCTTTGGGACTTTTCCACATTTTGAGGACTGAAATTATCTCCTACTCTGTCTTTACCCTTCACTACACAATATTTTGGGTATTCTAACAAACAGAAAAGCTGGGGTACGTAAACCTCTCTGAATAGTCTACATTCCTGCAGATTAAAAAACAACTAAATAAAACACGAGACAGGAATTTAAGAAACAATATTATATCAATTATGATGCTATCATGGGCTTGCAAAGTATTACCGCAAAAACATGGCTTTAAAAACTTTAAATGGTTATTTAGTATTTAGTGAAATGTGAAAACAATAACTAATTAACCCACCAAAAACTAATACCTATTCAACAGAAGACTTAGGATCACCATCTTACCACTCTTTGGAGTAAATACAGACCTTTGGTATTTTCATGCTGGCATTAAAGCATACTGCTCCATTTCACTATTTTTACATATTGTATAAGGGTAAGCAGTAAAGAAAGAAATGATTTACAGATTGGCAATAAACAGTCACATTGAATGATAACAACAAAAATTCACCTCTTTATAGGTCTATGCTTAAGACCTATGAGACCTACAAGAATTAACCAAAATAAAGGCTTATGGAGTTAATTCATTTGGCAAATGAAAATTATATGCTCCATTACTCAGAATAAAATTTTTCTTTGTGAATAATTTTGGCTATGGGGCCTGTGATTAGAAGATATTGTTTGGATTACTTCAAAATATATCTTGAAAACAAACCTCAATGGGTTCTTCACCACCTTTTACTTGACTTTCACCCATTTCTCCATTCTCATAGCTGCTGCTCTTCTCAACCCATAACTCAGATTTTTCCACCGTTAGTCGAAGCTGGTCTAGATCTGCCTTGATTTGCTTGTAGTTATCTACATCTTGATTGGACACCAGCAATTGCACCTGGAAACAGAAGAATTTGAACCCTCAGTTTACTTATGGAAATTCCTTAATTCCTATTTTACTGATGTTAAAAAATCCCAAGCTTTTAACAAATGTGTTTCAGTTGAAGTTTAATATTTCTATAATATTTATGGATAGTTTAGATGTATATTGACCATGAAAACTTACCTGGAAGTATCTGTGAACACAATCTAATATAGTCATATGTTATAAAGAATTATATATTTTTAAAAAGTGAACTCTATCAAAGTGCTAAAGAGTAGTTCAAAAGAAAAGATACCTTAACTCTAATTTCACTGCTAAAGTTAATTTTTCCCAAGACTCTATCTGAAAAGAGGTAGAAATACAGAAATAAGTAGAAGAAAATTCTGATATGGTCTAAATTTCATGTTATAAACTTTTATTATAATTTTTTTGTATTACATGATATATATAAATTATGCATAATTATATCTATTTGTATACTTACACTTACAATTATTTCATATTTTTTTATTATTTCATATTTTAATATATTCTTATAAAATGTCCTTAACGAAGATCAACGCTTTATTAAATGCCATAAATATAGTGAAACACACATGTAAGCAGTTAGGTATTATTCACCAATAGTCTCAAGATTGATGTCATTCGGATGACAAAGAAAAAGATTAGATCCAAAACAGTTACTTTCTTTGGTATTTACACATTTTCAATCACCAAATATATATTTCTGCACTACTGCTTGTCCCATCCAAATTTATCAGTAAAATCTGGTGTCAAAACAATAGCAGGGACAACAAAATTCTTAGTATGGTATTATCCCCCAGTGCCTTCCTAAATCTTTATGCCTGTCATTTATGTTAAAGATATTAACCGAAAATCATTTTGTGGGGAACTCTTTCTAAAATAGATCATGTCTTGGCTTAAGACAAGGCCACATCTGTCTTTAAAAATAGAAAATGTCTCTACGAGAAGACACACAGTCTCATGAACTCTGCAACTGTGAAATCAGGTGGAATGTTATAAACAATATTTTCCGAGTATCTGCTGTGGCCCCAGTGAGGGCTCCCCAGTCTTACCTGTTTAAACGCCTGTAAGACTTCTGCTCTCTGGCTGAAGTGCTTGAACAGTAGCTGTAGGGCTCCTGAGAGCAAAGGAGGGTAGTCATGCATGATCAGATGAATGAGGACACGTAGAAAGGTCCTGCCTCCTTCATCATCAAGTTGAACTGGATTTTTCTCCTTTCTATAAAACAAAAAATCATTCTAAAATAACTTATATTTACTCCTATGTGGTTAAAATTGTGGTTAAAATTGCATATACATTCTAAGTTATATCATTCTCCCCCTCAAAGATGAAATGTAAAAAGGAAGATCATTTTACCTTTTTTCCCCTCATGTAACTGATAAAGAAACAAAGCACACACACAGAAAGAAAGAAAGAAAGAAAGAAAGAAAGAAAGAAAGAAAGAAAAAAGGAAACTTGGGTTTGTCCATGAAAGCAGGGATGACCAACCGTCCCCATCTGCCCAAGGCTGAGGGCAATCCCAGGCAGAGGACTTTTCAGGGCTGGCTCTGGGAAAGTATCAGGTGAAGCAGGATGAGTCCCTCACCTCGACATAAACAAAAATAATTTTGGATCAAAAACGGATCCAAAAAAATCTCAACTCTAGTATTGAAAAGAAATACTAAGATGGATGTACAGAAACAACTAACTTTCGGGGCGCCTGGGTGGCTCAGTGGGTTAAGCCTCTGCCTTCGGCTCAGGTCATGATCTCAGGTTCCTGGGATCGAGCCCCACATTAGGCTCTCTGCGCAGCGGGGAGCCTGCTTCCCTTCCTCTCTCTCTGCCTGCCTCCCTGCCTACTTGTGACCTCTGTCTGTCAAATAAATAAATAAAATCTTTAAAAAGAAAAAAAAAAAAAAAAGAAACAACTAACTTTCTCCAGAGCCCTAGAGACCTCTCACCAACAGGTGATGAGCAGCAAGGGAGGACAAGGGCATGGGCACGTGCACGCACATCCATGCGCACACAGCCATCACCAGAGCCACTCTCTGTGCTTGGTATATTCAGATCCCGGGCAAGACTGCACGGGATAAGAGATCCTTTTTTTTTTTTTTTTTTTTTTTTTGAAGTTTAGAAAGCTTTTGTCTTCTTCTTATGTCCAATTAGCCAACATATGATACATCGTTAGTTTGTTATGCAGCGTTCAATGATTCATTAGTTGCCTATAACACCCAGCGCCCATCACAACACGTGCCCTCCTTAATACCTGTCACCCAGTTACCCCATCTCTCCACCCCCCTCCCTTCTGTAACCCTCAGTTTGTCTTAAGGTGAAAAATCATGCACTGATTTATTGTCTCTTACTGGAAATAATGAAATACTTAAATAGGAAAACACAACAAGAACACCAACAAAAACTGTCAAAACAATATAAAAACAAAGTTAAACCAAATGTCCACTAGAGTTTAAAAAAAATCCTTTTGGGTTCCCTTCTTCATTCTTGTTTGTCTTTCTAACCCAAGAAAATGCAACAAAGGGCTTGGTGTGAAATTGTTTAGGTTCTCATGGCAAATGTGTAATAGAAATGAACGCAAGAAACAATAATTTGTAGCTTAGACACCTTAGGGCTTTTTTTACTTTTCCTTTTTACTGCTATTAGTTTCATTTCTGAAAAAGAAAGAAACAACTTAAAAACAATAAATGTCAGAGTTTCTGAAAACAAAAGAAGGTAGTCACACCAGAGATATTTTGTTTCCTTTAATCATGGATATTTCCAACTGGCAGAAAATAGCTTTATTTCTCACAAATGAAGTTAATGATAACATTGAAAGAAGTCACTTTCTTGCCTCAAATTTCTCAGATGCAGGAAAGCAATGTTTTGCAAGACACAGTGCTATTTATACCAAGGGACTTAAAGGGCATCCGTGTGCTGTCATTATTTGAGGAAAGAAAAGCAAAGAATTCAGGGGAAAGTTCAATATGCTGATCTCATCTCTCTCGTCTTTTCCCCCTGACCTACCTAAAGAAAAGCTATGCTTTCTCTTCTACAGTAAATTAGCAACTTCATTTCTGGCAGAAATTATGTTAGCAACAATAAAGGATCTAAAATTAAATAAATATAGGGAGGTAAACAATAACAAAATATCAATAGAATATTAAGCAAAACCTTAGCCACAAGGTAAAGATACATAAGTGTTACTATACCTTCCAGCAAACATAGTTTCTGCCTGGGCTGCAATTTCATCTATATCAGGAACAATAGCTGTAAAGACAAATGGCAAATTCCATTCTTTATCTTATCCTATTTAGGAGTCACAGTATTCATATCAATATTAGCATACCCAAAATATTTGTCTTAATTTCTTTATGCCACCAAATGGCAATTAACAGTTTTAAAAAGTCACAATTTTAATTACACTTAGAGATCAACATTTTAAAAGAAGTTTACATTTTAAATCTATATTGCTATAGTCGAAGATATATTTAGAAGGACCATTTACAAAGTTGTTTCACCTCTCTAGATGTATCTATATGCACCAACTCCACACACGCACACATACATGTAAATATATATTATTTAATGAGGTGATGATATGGAAGGGTGTTTTTCAAACATGTTTTTTAAAGAATCAAAATATAGCAATAATGAACCTTATTACTATATGGTACTTCCAAACAACATGATCCTTTTACCCACACTTTCTTTTAAATTCCATCCCTTCTTCTTATGGGACATTAATTTTTTTATGTGAACCAATCATGATTCCTCACCCATCCTCACCACTAATATTTTGAGGCTATCCTACTCAAAATGTTTAAATAAGTACATTATTTATTTCTTATCCCTAAAGCATAAAAAGAAAACAGAGCAAGATTTAAAAAAAAAAAAAAAGGAAAAAGAAAAAGCTCTCTCAACCAATGAAAGAGATAGGTAAATCAGAGAGAACTGGTTTTCTAAGGTTCCCCCCCCCCCCATACTTTACTGACACTTAGAGCTTCTATTTCCAGAAGTCTGGCTTCTGAGAGCCAATAATTTTTATGATACTGTCAATGCAACCGCCAACAAGATTTTCTGGTTCTGCCATATCATTCCTGGAAATAGCCCTTTAGGGTTCTATACTTCTGGGAAGCATAAAAACAACACAGTTGCAAAGATACCAGAAGCGCCCTGTCCCTTAGGAAAGCTTAACTCCGTCTACAGAGGCAAGCTGCCTTTCCAATCCTACTAATGAGTCGGAGAGCAGGACACGGGTCTCCCATCCATTTTAACTACACCCTTATAATCGCTGAATCATTCCTGTCAAATTGATTGATGGGTGAAAAAGAGGAGGATACCTGATATTTTCATGATGGTTGTGGTTAGAAGAAAATTTCGTATCTGTGTACAAATCCTCTCCTCAGAAAAAGAATTCTGTGACCTGGCTAAATCTTTAATACGACATAGTTTCTAGCCTGCTGTTACTGGCCTGATCCACCCAGAAAAATGGAAATTTAATATTTCTTAGGTTTCATAGGACACTTTCTATAGCCACAAAATTTTCACAACAATTTTTATGCTCTTTCTTCACTATGCTCCTATACACAGAGATAAACTGGCTTCATTCTCACATTTTTTAAATGTGAAAAATTGACATAGAGTACCAGTTCATAACCATGCAAAGTAAACACACACACAAAAATACCCCCATTTAGACCTTCGGGGCGTACCATGTCTTTATTCTTCAGTTGGGCAACAGCTTCCTACAAAACATCTTTTTCCCCACAGCTATATTTCATGCAGCTCTTTGATCAAGTAAAAATGTTCCCTTAGACTTTCACCAAAACAGCATGATGCTTGCAAGATTCAAGCTCTGAAAACTGGGGAGACCTCAGAAGAAATCCCTGCTCTACTACTTTCCTGATCTTCAGTGAGTAACTTACCCCATCTGACCTCGATTTTCTTATCTATAAAATGGCACAATAAACAGTACCTCTACCTCATTGAGCTGTGAAGATTACAAAATAAACTGCATTCCAAGTATGGAGCACCAAGTAACTGGAAATATCCTCCCAGCATCCTAGGCAAGTCATCTATTGCTCTGTCTCAATCCTTTCATGTCATTGGTGGATATTATTTCTACATTTTTGTCTCATAGACAAAATATGAAAGCTACAGAGCAAATATTGTCACAAAGGAGCTACCTGATGGTAGTACTGTATCTGGAGAGCCACTGGCAGACGTTTCCGTGTTCTCATTGTTCTCTCCAAATTCCTTCTTGTATATTGACAGCATATATGAGATCCTATAATCTAGTCTGACACTCAGGATAAACTACAAAAAGCATTAAAAAAATACTTTTATTTTCTTAACATAGTGGTTAAAACTACAATTCATTACACCAACAAAACTTTAAACGTTGCACATGAACTAATTAGAAATCTCAGTTGCACACACGATTATCAGTCATAAAACGAAGAGAAGTGACACATTTCCATTAGCCAATGTCAGTAAGATCCCAAAGCAGTTTTTTAGGAAGAAGGAAACTTGACTTCCCATGATTACTCTTTGAATATTCCAGATAGAGGTATCCAATGAGTCTGGAAGAAGAGGTAACAATTTTTTGCACCTTGCAAAGTTACCATTGGCTCTGGGAGGACAGTGCTGGAGCTATGACCTTCAACCACACACAGAAAGGCTGAAATTCCAGGTACAATAGTATGGACTCTGGCTATACCACAGTCAGTCTTGGATCTCGGCTACAAAAGGACAGCTGAAGTAACAGCATCCAAATATACCATGGATTACCTCAACGTTGTTTGTGTTTCCTTGGGTTGTGTAGTTGTCCCTGTCTTCCTTAACTAACACACTGGCAGAAACTAAATGTCAGTAAGGTTCCCGTGTGGGCTAGACACTAGGAAGAGTGCAAACACTTGAAGCCCACTGCCCTGAAGAAGCCAAAGTCTGAGTTGGGAAGACAAAATATAGCATTGTTAACATAATTAGAAAAGTATTGAGGGCTCGATCATGTAGAATAGAAAATTCAGTGGTGACCAGAGAAAGAAAATATGTGCTACAGATTTCTGAGTGGAGAAGGGAAACAACAGAGAAGTAGTTTTATACAGGGTTCCCACCCATCCCAGTTAGCACAAGATAAGCCAGGTGTAACATTTTGTCCCAGCGTAACTACTATCCATGCCCCCTGCACTCTGAAAAGAGCCTTGTTTGGACAGTGAACAGTAACGGTCACACATGGTACTGTCTGACCTGATCTCCCAGGATCTCTGTGGTTCCTGAAGCAGCCCTGTTCCCCCATTCCTTTCTCCTCCCTCCTCTCACTCCTTCTCATACTGCTCTGTTCCAGAAGCACTGGATGCTTCTCTCCTGCCTTCTCCCATGTGTTCAGTGTCTACTTTACCTTGAATATTCTCCTCTACCCTAGAGTCACCAGTTTTTTCAGATATCCTCCCAGATTCAGTTTAAACTCCTTTTTAAATGAATCTTTCCCTGATTCCCTGTCTAGATCCATTTTTCTCCTTTTTGCTCACCTAAAATATTATTTACACCTGTCTACTGTCAACCTAATACTTCTATTATTGCCTCTGCCTCTCTCTTTCTCTCCTCTGCTAGCCCCCTATGCTTCTTATGGGCCTCAAACATGCTCTGTGTCAGCTATGGTCACTTAAGTTCAACAAACATTTGCGAAGCCAGGAACTAAGAGAGGTGCTGAGGGTACAAAAGGGGTGTCAAGAGTAAACCTTGCCTATGAAGAATGTATAATGAGGAAGGAAAAACAAACACCAAAGAGTCTCTTTTATTACCATGTACTGCAACACATCATGGTTGGGTAGATTCTAGTTAAAGAGCATTTTCAAAGCAAGGGACAGATCGTGGGAAAACAGAGCTGAGAAGGGCCACTGGACTTGACAGTCTTGGAAGGGAACAGAAACTGGATGGCATGTACTTGAAAAGAAAGGTTAAAAAAAAAAAAACCTATGTAAAGACCAAATGAATAAGACACTAATTAGTGAAACACTTATTAACTTTCAGTTAGTGAAGATTAGTGCTCATAGCGTTGTATTTTATAAATATATCCCAAAGGAAAACTTTCATCTTCTAATATATTTAATTGTAAAAAATAAATGGAAGGTAGGAAAGGGCCAGAGGGAAGAATAAAAACAAAGACAGAGCATGACAGTTGTGAGAGGACCAAAGACACAGAGAGGGAGGGGAGGCACCTGGGTGGCTCAGTAGGTTAAGCATCTGACTCTTAGAGTGGGCTCAGGTCATGACCTCAAGGTTGCGAGATGGAGCCCCGGGTTAGGCTCTGAGCTCAGTGGGGAGTCTCCTTGAGATTCTCTCTCTCTCTCTCTCTGCTCCTCTCCACCCACTTGCTTGCTCATTCTCTCCCTCTCTCTCATATAAATAAATAAATATTTTAAAAAACAGACTGAGGGAGAAAATGAGAGAGAGAAATAAAGAGAGATACAAAGAGAGAGAGAGAGAGAGACATAAAATGATGGGGAAAAGGCAGGAAGACCCTGTGAAGAGGTAGAGCTGGCAGGAAGCAGATTTGTATGAGGAGCATGGCTCTAAAGAAATTCTCTCTTATTTTTAAAGATGTTGTTAATTTATTTGACAGAGAGAGAGAGCACGAGCAGGGAGAGGGACAGAGGGAGAGGGAGAAGCAGGCTCACCACTGAGCAGGGAGACTGACTCGGGGCTCCATCCCAGGACCTGGGATCATGACCTGAGCCAAAGGTAGGTGTTTAATGGACTGAGCCACGCAGGCGCCTCCAAAGAAACTCCTGAAGAGGGGTTCTAATAAAGAAACGTCTGGAAGAGCAGCATGTAGGAACACGGACTGGATCAGACCCATACACGGCAACACAAAAACCAGAACGAAAAAAGAGGCTCAACAAGAAATATATTAAAAGTCCAAAAGAGGCAGCAAGGAGAGGTCAGCCCTGCATGGGCCCCACTGCAGTAGCTCCATCTCCTCGTTTGTTAGCTGTCAGATTGTTTTCGAATGCTGAACTTCCGTAACTGTGGGCTAAAACAAGGTCATATATCTTAGAGGCTGTCCCAAGAGTAGGATGATCGGAAGCTATGGGCCCAGTAGGTCCACAGGTCAGGTGATCACTACCATTCTCAGTTTGAGAATAGGGGAACCAAGTGATTCTTCAGGGTCATGAACACAGGGTTGGGAGGCCTGCCAAAAGTTCTCAGGATTCAGCCTTTGGAATTTCTGGAGGAACTGTGAAAACTTTTATGATTATAAGCCTAGTTACTTTAAAGAAAAATGTACAGATCCTTCCAGGACTACTAACCCACTTCTGTTAGCTCAGTTTACATTAAATTATGATGAAAGACTTAGTAAACTGTATCCAGAATCTTAATAGATCCTTGAAAACTCCAGGCTCCATTCTCTAAATCTGGAGTAAATGCTACAATTAAAGTATCATAAAACTACTTTCCAAACTTAAAAAAAAAAATGTTAAGAATTCACAGTTACAGTAATAGGGAATTTATTCACTAAACCAGTGGGCATGAAATAATAATTTATCTCCTTTAAATTCATAGAGCTATGTATTAGACTATATTAATTTTAAAAACATCTATTATTCTCAGCCTCTTGGAAACAAAAACACAAAGAGAGATAGTCACTTATATAAAATACTGAGACCAATATTAACATTTTTATTAATAATAAATAAAATTTCATTTGAGTTTCTTGCAACAATGATAAATCTGAATACCTAGAATTACATGCCCAATTCAATTAAAAATACAAATAGAGTTAGAATTCAATCTCAAGTTTGCCTGCTCTGAAACCCTGAAGTGAAGGTATAATGAAATCAGGGTCAATACTAAGTGAGAAAATGCATATGAAAGAGGTTTTGTGACCCTCAAAGCACTCCACAGTTGTTAGATATCATCAGAAATACATTTAATGGAAATGAACACATGTAACTAACATTTTAAATAGTGTCGTTAACGTAACAGAAATAAATTAGATCAATAGCATTTCAGAATATTCCCAGTGATTTGGAACAAAGAGCGTAAGAAGTTACATGGAGATGCACAATTGGGTATTCGTCCCTTCACTTCCGTTCTGCCACGTACCTGCAGAATCTCAATAATCTTGAGTTTGGTGTCCATCACGGTCACATCTTCATGCTCTATGGGGCTCCCCTGCTTGCTGGGGTGGATGCTGGGCTGAACGTCAGGCACACTCATGGGGAAGATGGAGCCTCGACTGAGTACCATTTGGGTCATCATCTCTCCCACCCCATGGATGGTTCTCATGACATTGTTTCCTGGCACAAGAAAAGTCTTTAAGTCAACACATACAACAGCTGGAGAAACAGGCGTCCTACCCAGCTGGTCGGAACCAGAAGGCAAGCAGGACCGCAGAAGCACTAAGACAGGAAAGAATAGCACCAGCTCTACTCTGGCTCCTTCCCTACAAACTACAGAGGCTGCAGACGCATTTCAAAATGAAAAATTTTAAAAAATGGAAGTTTACTTTTCTCAGAAAATGCTTTCCCAGGATGCACCACAGTGAGTTGTGGGAGCTCTGCTAACATCCGCCCTGGGTCTTTCTGGAACCCAGGAAGCCCCTACCAACTGTCACACCAATAGGCTCTAACTTTTGCCATAATGCGAATGAACTCTATGAGAAAGGAGCTACAAGGGAGGACACAGGCATTACAGGAAAACACAGAAGTGGTGACTAGCATCCTAATCCTACCCTCAACCCAAGGACTTTACAGCTTTGTTTTCATAATGCTTGTGAGAAAAGCTCATGAGGAGTCTTGCTATAACTTCAAAGAAAAAGAAAAAGTTTCATCCAGAGAAGCATGTTTGCCAATACACTTCCCATTCCTTCATCCAGTTGGAATAAAAAAACTTGTATTCCAAATCCACAAAAAGCAATGATGTTTGAGGTAATTAGGAAAACACATGAGTGACCAACATGATCATTTCCAAAATGGGATTGCTCTCTTTCTGTGTCTTCTGAGGTTTTTGTTTTTGTTTTTTTTTAGAAGGTAAATTCCCTAATCTTTTTTTTATTATGTTCAATTAGCCAACATGTAATACATCATTAGTTTTTGATGTAGCGTTCAATGATTCATTAGTTGTGTAGAACAGTGCTCATCACCATATGTGGCCCCCTCCATACCCATCACCCGGTTACCCCATCCCATCACCCCCATCCCTTCGTAACCCTCAGTTTGTTTCCCAGAGTCCAGAGTCTCTCCTGGTTTGTCTCTCTCTGATTTGACTTCTCATTCATTTGTCCTCCAATAAAACTGCACATACACTCACGCCTTCCTCTGACCACAAACAGCTGAACCCAAGGATCCTCCGGAGGCTGCTCCAATCTATGTTCTCCAGCCTGACTGTTGTTTCTCACTTCTAAGTTCCCACAACAAGCAGCCAAGAGCTAAAAGAACAACTGTCTACTTTTCTTTTGGAATACTGATCTTTGCTTTATGTATGTTCATGGAGCTTTACCTCAAGCAAAGGCCCAAGAATCTGGCAAATAATTTCCTTTCCCTGAGTGTCTCAGGGTGTAAACCAAGAGAAATAGAAATGGAAATAAGATGGGATGAGATAAAATCTCGGCTCTAAGTGAAGAGTATAAGCTATAGGGATACCTACAGGACCAAAAGGCAAATAAATAAAGGAAAGGAAAATATTGAAAGGAAGACCCAAAAAAATCTTGATGCTCTTGCACAGACCAACCCACAAATATCAACAAGCCACTGGTAATCACTGTGAAAAACGAAATGCCTTTTAAAACTTATTATCTTATCCATATATGAAATTCATGTACAGAAAAGAAAGTGGGACTCAAATAGTACATTTTGGAGTAGGCAGAGAAGGAACATTTTTTTTTTCCTAGAGTGGCATCTTCCAGGCAAAAAATTAACTGGTTTTCCTTCTGAGAGTCTATGAACTTTATTTGACTGCTGTTGGCATAAACCAAAAAAGAAGGGGGGGGTGTATATGAAAGATCATTTCCAAGTTTAGACAAGATTGAGATAAAGGATTCAAGAGAGCCCTGTTTTCCAGGAGAACAACCTTGAGGCAGAATACTTCATTTTCTGAGGTTCTCAGGCAATCACAGCAGTTGACTACCTCCAAATCTCTCCACTGTTTGCTACGTGGATTGCAGGGAAGCGCATCTGGAGGTTGGCAATGGTTTTGGGTCACCAGTGTTTAACCAGTACATTTCCCGAATTTTGACTCGAGCATATGTATGTTTTAGCCTCCAGGAGATGGTTTCTCACCACTAACACAGAACAGGCTCCTTTGTTATTCCTACCCCTGATTCACACAGAAATCCTTGGCACCCAGTGTTTGCATCTTACTTAGATTTGCATGGAAAATAATCATTTAATCCAAGTGATTATTACACAGAAAGTTAGCCCAGACAATTGTTTTCCCCAAATATAGATCCTGTCACCAAGAAATTAAAATCTAGAGGCCAGAACCATAATAATACATAACACATGTTGTCAATGACATGGGGGGGGGGGTTCATTCTGGTTCTACCACATCCTTAGATGCCTGTGGCACGTGGTCGCCACAAAACTCTCCTGACATCTCCATGTATGGCCAACTGAGAGGGCTCAAATTAAAAGATGCTCTATTTTCTGGAGTTGCTTGGTGGTGATGAGAAGTGCTTAAATTGTGAACTATCACAGCTTGGAAAACATAAGTCAAATGCCAAATCACACACATGCAAGTCTCCCAAGTATCCATTTCTCCAGAGAAAACTTCCCGATTCTAGACTGTTAGATAAATCAGAGGCCATCAGGTTTCAACACTGCCAAAGAAGAAAACTTACCATTTCTCCTCTCAATCATAATTAGTTAATACTACTAAAAAGTTTTCAGTGGAAAGGCTACTGTGTAACTATATAAATCCTCTGGACAGACTAACCCATAAAAATTCAGCTTTTCTATGTCTTTTATATTAACCCAGTAGCCAGAATTTATATTTATATGTAAAGGGTGTTGAGATAGTTTGAAAAAATGTTAAACAAAAGTAAGAAAGAAGGAATTGCTTAGAAAGAAAAGCAGATGGACTTTTCAGGTCTTTTTATTACATGATTGTATGGATAGTTTTACCCATCCTAATTCCCTCAAGAGAAAAACCCGAAAGTAAAAGCGTATAGAAAATGCCTAAAAGGAATGGTGGCTAAGAGTGGACTGAGAATACATTGTTTGTTTGTTTGTTTGATGTTTCCGATGAGTCAAGTTCCCATTACCAATCTCAGAGAAGTTTTTACTTCTCTGAGATTGGTAATGGGAACTTGACTCATTGCTTTTTAGCAATGAGAGATCCATACAACCTGGAAGGTGAGCTGACCACAATTTAATTGTACCTGTTCAGAAGTCATATTACTGTTTGTGAGCATTACTACACTCAACAATCATTAAGAGTTAAGTGGATTTCTAGAAAGCATGAGAGAGTTAACAGAATCTTACTTGATTGAAATTTACCTGATGAGTACTGGTATTTTATTTTATTTAATTTAAAGTCATCTTTACATGTTATCTATTTCCATTAGAAATACCTAACACAAGAAAGGATCATTTGAATTTTCCATTTGTTTAGATTTCAAGTAGACATTTCTGGAACATTTTCAGCATTTATAAGAGATCATAGAAATATTTGATTAGAATAGCTCTGTGAATAATTGTTCACAGCAATTTAATTGTTCTGTGACTACTAAAGTCAGCTCAATGTTTTATAATAGAAGCCAAAGAATGGATAACCCAAAAACTGTTCTTCCTTCCCTGAAACATATTTTCATAGTTGAATTTGAAAAAGAAAAAGAAAGAAAAACGCATCTGCTGTTATAATAATTCATTTGAAACAGGATGATGTTAAACCATAAAGACAGGTCTCAGGAAATCTTCCTCCTTCCTATCCCTGCTCAGCAGCTCCTTATAAACCTCCACTTGCTGGAAGACGCCTACACTTTAGAACTGGAATGGTTTTCTATTTTGAACATTCTCTGGAGCAGTGCTTCCTCCCAGTGGTTGAGGGTCTGGTTTTAAAAGGACTTTTCTATATGCAAAACAAACAAAAACATTAACACAAGATCAAAGCCTTAATGAAGCTAGTGATACAAGCAGAGCCATGGGTACCATGGTACCAACGTGGATTAAATGGAAAATCCATGATTTTATACCCTAAGAAGACAAGAAGTAGCCAGCCTTCCCAGTTCAAAGTTAGATCACAGGATTTTAGAGAGCTGGATAATCCAGCCTCCATCGGGTCTGTAAGCCTTGTGCTGGACCTGCTGGGAACATGCTGTTCTGCTTAGAGTTCTCTTAACTAGATGGTCACTCAACTTGCTTTCTCACTCCTTTATGATTTCTGGTACAATATCAACTCCTGAGGTAGACCTCTTCTGGCCACCCTCTCTAAAGGAGGACTGCCATCACTCTGGACACACACACCTGCTTTACATTTCAGCCATGCCATTATCGCCACCTCAGGTCATATTTTATACAGTTTATGTGCTTCTTGTACATACGCCCCTCAAAAAAAACTACGTAAGCTCCATGAAAAACCAAGATCCTGCCTAGTTTACTGCTCTATCTCCAACACCTGGAATAGTCCCTGACATACAGGAGTCATCCAATAAATGTTTGCTAGATTAATGCACTAATAAAAGGAAAAAAAGACTTGATAAACAAATGAATAAACAATGAATTCCAGAACACTGAAAAGGAATAAAATAAAATATAAAAATTTTTAAAAATGAGATTGACATTTTTATTTTAAAAATGGGATCTTAGTATACTAAAAATATTCCATCTTTCCTCAAGGTGAGTTTTTGCTTCCTCTCCTTCATATTTTCCCAAATTTTCTAATTTTTTTTCAAAAAGCATATAAAGCTTCATGTTCCTTGAAAACTTGTTCATTAAAAAGAAAAGAAAGAGTAATAAGACAGATACTAGAGAGATAAGGGGAATCATGAAATCTGCCCTCATCAAGGGCAAATCACATCCCATGTACTTTGCTAGGCCACATATACCCTCACAGTAGGGGGGGGACTTAGGGGACCCATCCCACTTTACTCAGCCAGAAAGTGGCAGAGCTTCAGAGAGAGGTCAACAGATATCAATATGCAGGGGTTTTTCCCCAAACCATGCTGCTTTGCTAATAGACAATCACCTAGCAAGTTTCCAAAGATTGTACACTCGAACTCAGAAAATCTAGCAAAGGCAAGAAGCAAAGATTCTTTTTTTTAAAGTTTTCTTTTTTTTTTTCTTTAAGTAGTCTCCATGCC